CTGAGATTCCACCTCACCCCACAAAGAATGGCTGCTATCAAGAAATCAACCAATAACAAATGTTGGCGGGGTTGTGGGGAGAAAGGAACCCTTCTCCATTGCTGGTGAGAGTGTAGACTGGTGCAACCACTATGGAAATCAATACGGAGATACCTCAAAGAGCTGGGACTAGAGGTTCCATTTGACCCAGCCATCCCTCTGGTGGGTGTCTTTCCAAAAGAATTAAAAGAATCATATCACAGTGATATATGTGCACCTATGTTTATAGCGGCACAGTTTGTAATAGCTAAAACTTGGAAACAGCACAATTGCAAATTGATTGGAGACTGGGTAAAGAAGATGTGGTTTTTCTATAAAATGGAATATTATTCATCCATAAAGAATGAGAAATTAGATTCATTCATAGGAAAATTGATGTATATTGAGGTCATACTCTTAAGTGAAATCAATAAGTCACACACGTGTAAATACCAAACAGTTTCTCTGGTGTGAAAAACTGTAATTGTAAATAAGATCCTAATGGTGTAATTGACAATGTGAAATAGGAAGAAAAGGGTGAAAGGTATAGGGGAAGTGGGTAAGGTAGGGGAAAGGATAAGGGAAATGAAAAAATATGAAAAAATGAAAAAATGGAAATAAAGTTTTTGTAGATAGGGAAGGGAGGCATGGGTGAAGGGAGGGCAGGGTTATGGGGAAAAAAGGAGAACCAAGACCTGTCATGTAAAGGTACAAGATCCGAGATCCCAATGATAAATGTAACTGTACTGAATACCTAAAATGTACCAATCAACTCAATGAGAAAAAAAAAAAGAGGTTGGCTGGCTGCCCAAGCTGGTGTTCTGTAGGCCAGCAAGATCATTATGAATCTGCACATTGAAATCTCAACATTGCAGGTTCAGAATATTCATTCTGGTAGGGTGGTTGAGGCTGCCCAAGTGTGAGGGGTGTCTATCAGAACATGAATCTAAAGTGAACTCACAATAGAAAGCTCAACCACTGAGCAGTCCAAAAATTTTGTCTTTTGGTTGGTGGGGGTCCCCTTTTTTTTTCTTTTTCTTTTTTTTTTTTTTGGCAAATTTACACAAACCGCCAAAGTATCATCTAGATTAATTGGAGAATGAAGAATCAGCCAGAACAGCTAGAGATGAAGGGCCAAGGTGGGGGAAGACTTGAGGGTCTGTTTTTGAAGTGCAATGTCTGATGTTCCCAAGTTCCAACTGTCCGAGGCACTCATCCTGAGGTAGGGCTTTTATTAGTTCCCTGTGGCTACTGTAACATTTCCCCACAAAGTGGATGGCTTAAAACAAGAAAAATGTATTCTTTCATGTTTCTCAGGAACAAAAGACCCAAATCGGTTTCACTGGACCAAAATTAAGATGTCAGCAAGACTGTACTCCCTCTGCAGGTTCTTCCTTCTCCCAGCTTCTAATGGCTTCCTGGTATTCTGGCTTGAGGCTGCATCACTCCAATTGCTGCTGTCTATATCACCTTCTCTATGTATGCCTGATCTCCCTGTTTCCTCTTCATAAGGATACATGTGATGTCACTTCATCTGGAAAATCTAGGATAATCTCTCACCGTGCTTGACTTAGTTATATCTGCAAAGTCGATTTTGCTGTATCATAAGGTAAAGTCCACAGGTTTTGTGGAAGAGCATGTAAATATCTTTTTGGAAGCCACTTTATAGCTTACCACTGAGGAAGACTTGTTGAGTAGGGTGGACTGTTCATTTTGGCTGTTCAGAGAGCCCCCTTACTTCTGGATGGTTATGAGACTCTGGTGATACTGGTGATCCTTGCTTTCTGAGCCTTCATTTTCTAGCCCCAGTACAAGCACTGGTTTTCTGCTACTAGCATGCTTTTATTAAAACAGTACAAATCAATCTGTGTGTGTTTTTTTTTAGTTCCAACTATTCCAAGGATATCTACTCAATACCATTCTCAAGATCTTTCTGATGTGATGAGGATATCCTCAAACATTACCAACTAAAAATTTACAGAGCCTATAAATGTTATTTTGGAGAATTCTCATCTGTTACTTCATCCCTTCCTCGGTTTTCCTAGGTGTCACACTTGCCCCTCTACCCCATTATTGTCTGCGGCGGATATGCTGCGATATTTTTATATTCAAATCTCTTCCCATCCATTGTGCCCTCCCTTGAGTCTCCCCTCCAATGCACCTACTTACACAGAGTCAGTTTACTTTATTTCTGCAAGCTACTGAATAATTTTCTTACTACCGTAATTCTTTTGTCATGTTTAGATTCGGGCAAAATTGAATTTTCACCTCTTATTAAATGTCAATACAGATAAAATTTAGCTGGCTTAGTGCTCTCAGGCAGATTTGAATTAGTTAGGACTACAAGTGTGTGAAATAGGCACACTTGTTATGTTCTGATTCTCTCTTCCTTAGCAGAGAACATTTAAGATACCTGTGATGCTGGGCAGCTTTCAGAAAATTACAAACCATTTCTTTCACTTTGGCAGGCACGATAGCTTCGAGGAAACTGTCAGCGTCTGAAAATAAAAAGGACAGAGAATGGAACTCATACATTTGACAAGCTCTTTATGTTCTGTGCATAGTGTTGGTGAGAAACATCTTGATTAAACACATATCTTTTGCTGTCATTGGCTTTCAGAAGAAGAACATACTTAACTCTATGCTGAATGTAGATTGTCTTCTTGGGACTTGTGCCTCTCCTTGTTAACTTAATATTTGATTTAGATTTGATTCAATATTGACCATGTAAACACATGGCTTGGTCGCATAGGTAACTACTTATGATCACCAGGCCCCAGGTGAATGCAAAATCCCCACTTAACAGAAGTCTTTGTGTGAATTTAAGGTGGTGGAGAGACTTGTACAGACTGTTTTCTCTGTTTTGCTACATATATTTCTTCTATTAAGTAAATGACAAATTGTATTCAGTTTGTTTTGGAATATATAGCATAACATTGTTTTACTTGTTGATAAAATTATTTCCAGAGGAAGGGTTACCTGATGCTACTTTATTGCTTAAAATATTAATCTGTGGTTGCTTGTCAATAAAGAGTAAATTAATTTTCCTATATTCAGGTCTCTCTACAACATGCTTTTAGGACATTTCTCCAATCCTATCATCACCATTTGCTATTAGGAAATGATCCCTGAGTATGCTTCATTAATTTTTTTCTACTATTTGCCCTTTTTCCTTACCTGTTTTCTCTCCATCCTTCCCTCTTCTTCCATCTTTTTCCTTTTTTTTCTCTCTCCACCCTCTGTCCTTATATCCTTCCTATTTTCCGCTCTCTATTCTTCTCTCTCGTTGCCCCTTCCCCTCTCCATGTTTCTTTCCAGGGCATAGTCATTAAGCACCTAAAGAGTGCTTGGTTCTGTGCTTGGCACAGTAGGAAAGATGAAGTCAACATTGCATCTCCTAGCACTATGAATGCATCACTCAGCTTTGCTTGAACAGCTTAGAGAAGTCTCCAGGGAAATGTGACTTTGAAGGAGAACTGGTGCTTACCAGGTAGACAAAGCCAAGGAAATTATTGTCAGTAGAGGTAACAACACAAATTCAAGAGCAGGGACAAGAAGCACATCATTCTTTTTTCCCTTTCCCTTTCCTTCCCTGTTTTTCTCCTGCAAGTATTTATCAAGGGCCTGTAATGTGACAAACACTGCCCTGGGTTCTTAGATAAGAAAGAAAATATCTCTGCCTTCAGGCAACTTATTGGCTAGTACTGGAATGGAGCATGATTTTCTAGGCTGGACGTGTCCCATGCAACTGTTCAGAATACACTTGGGAAACATTTTGTTTTTAATTCTGTGCTGGAAATTCGTAATGCACAATTTCACAGTCAAGGCTCTGGGAAGTCCTCCATCAAGAAACCTATTATTTTCATTTACTCAGCATTTCTCCAATGTGTTTAACCAGAAGCACCTTATTTTAAGCAGTAGTTATTAATATCATGCAAAGTTAGTTTTCTAAAGGAGTCATTGCAGGAAATATTTGAGTGTTCCATACTTCCAACCTCTTTGCTCATTATATCAGCCACCTATTTCTATAGCAATGCTGCATAAAAACAGTCACACACCCGTCTCCACCCCATGGCATACAACAATAAACACAGTGCTTGCCTACTGGGGCAGTTGGCTAGGTGGCTCTGCTGAACTCTACTGAACCTGCTCATTTACTGATCTTGCTAGCTCTTGCTGGGAATTTGGGGTGAAATCGCTTGCCCTGTTTGTCATAGCCTCCAGTAGACTAACTGAGTCCTATTTCATTGAGGTGGCAAAAAGCAGGTGGAACCTTGTAAATAATTTTTCATGACCCTGCTTTTTTTTGTGTGTGTGTCAATTTTTCTAACACTTTAAGGTCCAAATCAAGCTTCAAGTCTGAGTCTAGAATCAAAATGGCCAGGAGTTGTATGTGTGTGTGTGTGGGAGGGGGGACTACAAAGTGAGAGGGCAAAAGTTCAGAATGGTGGGGGAAGAATTAGGGCCACTTTAGTATCTACCCACGTCTCCACACCTATGTAAGGACCCAGCTCAGGTATCATCTTTTCCATGAAGCCTTTTCTGACTTCCTCAGACCCATCCCCATGTTTCTTCCTGAGATTCTGTGCTGCATATTCAGTCCTTTTTGCTAGGTTCAGGAACTCTCTTGAATTCTCAGCTTGCTTCACATTGGCTGCCCCAATTAGACTATAAATTCCGTGAGGGTAGAAACCACAGTTTTAACTTTATATTTTCCCAGAGCCTAGGCACAGCATTAGGCACACAATGTGGGGGGGCATTTATTGAAGAATAATTAATTGAGGCCAAAAGTCTCTAGACACAGGCTGGCTCCTGGGGGCTGCCCTGTCCTGGAGTCAGTACTCCCTTTGCTATCTGGGGTTTTGCCTACTTAAAGGACCTGAATCAGCTCTGGGGTGCACAGAGGCCGGAAGTGGAGCCTCTGTGTATGAGTGCTTTGCTCTCGTGTTTTCAGCCTCACAGGATTCTAACCACTTCCTCTGAACTTCAGACCATGTGGGCACCTCACCTCTCTTGTGATAGTGGTCCTCCTAAATTTGGGCCACTCAGCTCATTCCTTTCTGTCTCATATGGCTTAGCTGTCTGTTCTTGCCACAGGACCTGCATTTCTGACCCCTGTGGCACGATTGGAGAGGACAGTGGTAGTGTGAGCAAAGCACTCTGGGTGTGTACTCCTTGAAGAGTGGCCCTGGGGCTGGCAATGTGAGCTTCAGCCCACAGCTGGCCAGAGATGTCACTGCTCCCATCCTTCTGAACAGCGTCTGGCCTTTAACCAGATCCCTGAGGCATAGTCAAGTCTGAGGAGCACTGGCATCTGCTCCAGTGTTCCTTCTCCCTTAGCTCTGCAACCTGGTAGGTGGCTTCTTGGCTGTTTCCTCACTCATAAAGCCAGGAACTTGGACATGCTGATCTCCCTAGTAAGGAATGAGATACACTTAATCATGCTTGTAGTTGTTCCAATTGCTTTGTTGTTTCATCAGAGAAATACCAAGATATGAGAAGTGGGAGAAAATCATATTCTACACAACATCAAGAACTTTTAGAGCTGAAAGGAACTTTATTGAACATTTCCTCTAGTTTCATCTTGTTTTAAAGGCACTTAAGATCAAGGCTTGTTAAGAATGTCTATAGGAGATAGGCTACACTTTCACTATGCAAAGCGTGGTCTCTACACGTGCTGCAGCATGGCAGTCACCTGGACACATATGAGAAATGTGCTCCAGCACACACTTATTGAGTTAGTATTTGCACTTCCCAGGGCCCCTAGCTGATCTATACAGACAAGTATAGGAGCACTGGGCTAAAAGACACAGATGTTGGGAATTCTTTAAGACAAATGAGGCCTAGAATTGAAGCATCATTTCACAATCACTCAGAGCATTGGCCCTAGAAGCAAAGACACCTGGATTTGAATCTCATCTTGCCACTTCTAGACTTGTGGTTTTGAGAAAGGTACTTAACCCTCTTTGAGCTTCAGTTTTTTTTGTGTGTGTACAAAATGTGTAAAGCACTTAGCATGATGCTGGGCACTCAGGAAGTGCTTAGTAAATGTTAGCACAGCAGGGCTTATGGTTAAAAGCACAGATTCTACAGGGGTTTACAATCCTGGATCTACCACTTACTGGCTGTGTGATCTCTGGCAAGTCATTTAATTTCTCTGTGCTCCAGGTTTTTCATTTACAAAATGGAAATATCAATGGGATTAGGATGATGATTTCAGATTTACAAAACATTTCAACACTGCCTGGCACATAGTAAGAACTAAGTGTCCAACAAAAAGTTACAATATTATTATTTTATAGACTGGATGAAAGGAGAAGAACCAGGCATATGTAATATTTTTTGTGTGTCTGGAGATGGAACCCAGGGTCTTGTACATGCTAGGCAAGTGCTCTACCACTGAGCCACACCTACAGGGAAAGGGCTGGGGATTTAGCTCAGAGGTTCCACCGCCTGCCTTGCAAGTGCAAGGACCTGAGTTAAATTCCTGGTACCAAAAAAAAAAAAAAAAAAAAAAAAGAAAGGCATGGAATATGCAGCCTTGGATTGGCTCTCTGGTACCATTAGGATGCAAATGCTTGTCTTTCTGCTTTGCCATCTTCATCATGCTGCCTCTGTCCCCATGGCCCAGGATGGGTCCTGAAGCTCTAGTTCTTATTTCCATGAAGCAGACTAGCAGAATGAACAAGATTTAGAAGGTCAAGGGCCTCTATATCAGCCACGTACTGCTGAGTAATAAATTAATAGCATCCAGTAAATGAAATATTTAGGAATCAATCTAATGAAGGACGCAAAAAGATCAACACTCTGAAAAAAGAGATCAAAGAGGTTATAAGGAAATGCAAAAGCATCCCTTGTTCCTGGGTAGGAAGAACCAGTATACTGAAAATGGCCATACTTCCAAAACTGCTGTACAGATTCAATGCAGTCCCGACTGAAATCCCAACAGTATATTTCACAGAATTAGAGATAACAATCCAAACATTAATTTGTAACCAGAAGAGACCTAGAATAGCAAAAGCAATTCTAGGAAATAGAGACATAACAGGGGGTATCACAATCCCCGACTTTAAGCTATACTACAAAGCCACTGTGAAAAAAAAGCATGGTACTGGCAAAGAAACAGACCCGAGGATCAGTGGAATAGATTAGAAGATACAGAAACAACTCCGGATGTACTCAGCTACCTCATCTTTGACAAAGGAGCCAACCATCCTCAGTGGAGGAAAGATAGCCTCTTTAATAAATGGTGTTGGAAAAAGTGCATCTCAACCTGCGAAAGATTAAAACTAGACCCCTATCTTTCACCATGCACTAAACTACAATCTAAATGGATTAAAGATATGAATATTAAAACAGAAACACTTATCTTGGTGGAAGATAAGTTAGGCACAACTCTCAAAAACATTGCCATAGGAAAAGACTTTGTGAACAAATCCTCAGTAGCACAGGATCTAGCACAAAGAATCAACAACTGGGATCTCATCTTTTTACTGCAAGAGAAACCACCAACAGAGCTAAGAGACAACCTACAATGTGGGGACAAATTATTACCAGCTGTTCCTCAGACAAAGACCTACTATCTAGAATATATAAAGAACTCAAAAAAATAAGACTTCCCAAATATAAAGACCCAATCAAAAATGGGCATCTGAAATGAACAGACTTTTCTCAGACAAAGAAGTAAAAGCAGCAGATAAACATATGAAAAAATGTTCAACATCACTGGTTATTCAAGAGATGCAGATGAAAACAATGCTGAGATTCCACCTCGCCCCAGAAAGAATGGCTGCTATCAAGAAATCATCAAATAGGTTGGGAATTTAGCTCATTGGTTCTGGTGCCTGCTTTGCAAGCACAAGGTCCCAAGTTTGATCCTGGTTACAAAAAAAAAAAAATTAAAAAAAGAAATCAGCAAATAACAAAGGCTGGTGAGGCTGTGGGGAGAGAGGAACCCTTCTTCATTGATGGGAGTGCAGACTGGTGCAACCACTGTGGAAATCAATATGGGGATACCTCAAACAGCCAGGCAGAAGCTATTTAGAAGGCCCTTTTGAGCCAGCTATTCCTCTGCTGGGTATGTTCTCAAAAGAATTAAAAGAATCATACCACAGTGATATATGCTCACCCATGTTTATAGTGGCATACTTTGTAATATCTAAAACTTGGAAACAGCTCAATTGCCCATCAACTGGAGACTAAACAAGATGTGATTTTGTTTTTGTTTCATAAAATGGAGTACTATTTAGCCATAAAGAAGAGAAACTAGAGACATTTATAGCTAAGTGGATGCACTTTGAGGCCATACTCTTAAGTGAAATTAATAGAACACACATGTGTAAATACTGAATCTTTTGTGTGGTATGAAAAATTAAAAGGGTAAATAAGGATCAAAATGTATAATTGATATTGTATAATAGGAAGAAAAGATCTAAAGGAATAGGGGAAGTGGGAGAGGAAGGAAAGAAGGGAAAATTAAAAATATGAGAGAAACAAAGGCTTTGTAAATAGGGAAGGGGGGAGGGAGTGAAGGGAGGGCAGGGGTATGTGGAAAAAATAAGAACCAAGATACATCATGTAAAGGTACAAGATCCCAATGATAGGGGCCAGGGATTTAGCTCAGTGGTTTTGCCATCTGCCTTGCAAACGAAAGGACTCGAGTTTGATCCCCGGTACCAAAAAACAAACAAACAAACAACAACAACAACAACAACAAAACAAAGATCCCAATGATGAATGTAACTGCATTGCATACCTAAAGTGTACCAATAAAGTTAGTGACAAAAATAATAAATTACCCCTCACTTAGTGGGAGGTGGTAGTGGCTGGGAATAACAAATGTTTATTATCTCATAGTTGCTGTGGATCATAATCATGAGCTGCTTAGTGTGTGGCTGTAGCTTACATTCTCAAGGCTTCAATGAAAGCATCAGCTGGAGTCATGGTCATCTCGCGGCTGAAGTGGGGAAGTGTTTTCTTCTAGGACCATTCCTGCAGTTGTTAGCAGGTCTCACAAAGGCCCCCTTCCAAGATCTCTCATGTGAGCATCTCCACCACGCTGCATCCTTACATGGCAGCTGGCTTCTCCTAGTAGAAGAACAACTCACATTCAAGGCAAGTGGATTTCCTGAGGTCCTGAATACTAGGAGGTGTGCATCAGTGAGATTCCCAAGCATGTACTCCTCCTCCTCCGTGAATGCTTCCTTCAAGTAGCGTTCCTAGAGTTCCCACTCATTTTTGCTTATAACTCAAAGCCAGATTTTAGTCCCGTGGCCACACAGAGTTGCAAGAGAGGTTGAAAAATACAATATTTCCTCTCTGAATGAAAATCAGTTTCATTTGAAATGAAGGTAAGAGAGGGTGGCCAGTTCATTTTTGATACAGCTGTCTATACAGCTGTGTTTCTCAAAGTGCAGTGCTAGGACCAGCAGCTTCAGCAACCCCTGAGAACTGGTTAGAAATGTAAATGTTTGGTCTGCAGCCCAGGCCTGCTGACTTAGAAAATGCCCTCTAGGGGGTTCTGATGTACACTCAAATGTGACAGTCAATGCTGTAGAGGACAAGTTAATTGACATTCTTTTAATAAAACATGCCGTTTGTTTATAAGAACCAAGAACTTGGTGCTATCTTTAGTCAGCATCATCATGAAAATAAAGGCTTTTAAGATGAGATGTACATTACCTAACAATTTAGGTACCATATGTTTTGTTGTTGCCATCCTGAGGTTGCCCAGAATTTTATCAGACAATAAGCTCTGTAGTACATATAAAGCTTAAGAGCATATGTGGCAGAAGAGATCATAAATGAAGTTTCCTTTATGGGGAGCAAAGAACTGTAGATTCTCAGTGGCTGGAAATTCCATACTTAAATAGTAGAACCACACTATGGTTATGTAATGTACTACTTATATAATTGAATCCTGCAGTGCTAGTTTTAATCAAAACTCAGTAAACAATAATTGATGGTGGACTGTTAAAAATTGGGACTTCAGTGAAAGCAGCAAGAAAATATATGAAAAAATGTTCCACATCACTGGTCATTCGAGAGATGCAAACCACTATGGATCAATATGGAGATACCTCAAAGAGCTTGGACTGGAGGTTCCATTTGACCCAGCCATCCCTCTGTTGGGTATCTTTCCAAGAGAACTAAAAGAATCATATCACAGAGAAGTATGTGCACCCATGTTTATATAGCG